TGCAGGTGAGGAACAAATCACTTGCACCAAGTCAGTAGGCCAAGTGGGTCCCCTAACAACCAAGGAGGGATAACTAATGAAGCTGATCTGATGTAGCCGATCTCGAAGAATTGTAATTCCCACTAAGCTTCAGAATTGGGTAGAACAGGGTAAAAACCCTGGCTCCACCTAGGTTTGGCTTCTAATACAGGGCAAGCTGCTCACCCATCCAAGCCTTGATTCTGTAACAGAGATGAACACACCACCTCAACTCAAGAGTTTTGTGAAATCTACACAGAAACTGCCTGGCACGTAGCACTCCATAAATGTTAACCTATTATAAAATACACTGCTGAGAGGAGCAGTGGGTGAGACAGGGGTTGCTCCACGGCCGGCGGGGATGGAACCCAGCACTGCAGAGGCTGCGGACAGCTTCACAGCGCTGCGCTCAACGGCCTGAGCCACCGGGGAGGCCCAAAAATTTTCTTCAAAGATTTTTAAAGTGCATTTTAATAGAGAATATTTTTTAAAAACCGCTTAGTAAATTTTCTTTCAAATGAAAGAAACAAACTGGAAGTGGGTGAAATCAAATGAAAAGCTTTCCCTAAGGACAGGAAGAATGTTCCCATGCCATCCTTCTTGCGGGGTCCGCCTCTACCAGAAGGACCAGGAGCCTCAGGGCTCTCGGAACTCAGCCCTCTTGGCAGTGGCATCTTGCCCGTGGGACTTGCAGGACATGTTTGCAATTTGTTTTTATTTTTAGGCACATCTGCAAATACGTTTCGAAAAATTCCAGTCTTGACAAAACCAGGGCAATTTTCCCCAGAGTTTCCAAAGCTGTAATTGTCGCTGCTTCCTTATTCAGTCAGAGCACAACCTCGTCTTCGGCATGTAGCAAAGCACAACCATGCACCCCTGGCCTGCCCACGACCTGGCAGCTTCCCCTCTGGACACTGTTTCCTGAATGTGGTGTCTTCCTCAACTAAGGGGCTCACTCTGTTACTAAGCACTCCCTAGTCACCTACAGGGCCACCTCCTCAGGCAGCAATAGTAGACTGAGTATAACTTTAACTTGGCATCCAGAAACTGAGGTCGCCGGGGAAAGGAGGGACAGCACATCCCAGCAGCACCCACAGGGCTAGACAATCGTAACTGATTTTCCTAGGCGGCAGATGCTGAATTTCCTCTGTACGTTCCATTTTTTCAATTGTACTGTCTTGTGACCACATTGGCTAGCTGGAGCTGGGCATTGCCTGGTGTAACTTACCCTCCTCGTCCCCCAACCTGATCCTTGGCTTTACTAGCTAGCTTCTCACTCAACCAATGGCACCCTGGATACAATAAAAGACCAGTAAGTGATTTACTCGATTGAGCGATCAATGCCCTTCGGTCAGTAATAGCCAAAAATCATACAAGAAGGTGGCTGTTACTAGAAAACAAAAAATTAAGAGGTCTGACTTCAAATAGACATGTTTCAAGGTGGTTTAAGGGTTGGGGAAGGGAGGGTCTCCCTGGTGGCGCAAGGGGTTAAGACTCAGCACTATGAAGCTAAAGGCAGAGTTTGATGGGGGGTGGGGGGGAGGGAGGCGGAGGCGGCCAGGGAGCTAACCCAGGTGGCACAGCAGGCCTCTCCAGTCCTGCCTGCTGCTCCCCTCAGAGGTGTTTTTCAGTCAGTCTGCCTCTTCTGCTCCCCACTCTGTCTCTGGTGAGCCCTCTCCCCACCCCTCGCTCACACCCCAGCTCTTGCATGCATAAATAAATTAAATCTTAAAAAAAAAAAAAAAAAACACACAACACAACAGTGGGGGAAGGCCCTTACCAGGTGAGAAAAACTTAGCTCTAAAACAACAGCTTATAAAGTCCAATCATTCAGACACTACCAGATCGGGCATTCACCACCAGTGGGTGCAACAGCCCCTTCTCCTATTTAACTCGATGAAGGCCTGACACGGGTCTGGAGCACCCTCAGCTTGGAGTGAGCAGGTCACATGTGGCAGCTAGTTCCATAAGCCACAAGGGTGCTGGGCTGAAATAACGATTTGCAAGAGGGAGTGGAGCATCAGAGGAGGAGAAGCACAACTGCCCACTCTGGAGGGAGCAAGAAATAGGGACATGAAGGGGATGCTCACAAGGCTTATCAAATACCCCTTTGAGGAGCATGTGAGTTTTTGTAACTTAATTACTTTTTAAAGCTATCACAGTAAAATTTACTTTCTGGGAGTGTTATACAGTTCAATGAAAGATAATTCCTGTATATACGGCTGTCACTACCATCAAAAGGAGCATATAGAGAGGTTGCAACACCCCAAAGATTAATTCTAGAAATAATTTTTCAACATTGACCTTGACTGATATGGACACAATGAATAAGGGTAACAAACATAACCCACCATTTGTCATCACAAGTGTCAGGGGGAAAAAAGCCACACCCAATCTCCAAATTATTTCCGCTGGTTGGCTAGCAAACTTCATGTGTTTCTACATTATAAAATTGTAACAGGGTGGTCCACCTCTCCCTGCCCTGTAAAAAAATGAGGCATGCATTCCCCCAAAATGTTTTATCACAGCATCAATACAATTCATAAAAGTAGGCTGTTTGGGCCTCCCCTGGTGGCGCAGCGGTTGAGCGCTGGGTTGCGAGGCTGCCCGCAGCCTCTGCAGCACCAGTTCCATCCCCGGCCACCGGCGGCGAGGGTCCCACAAATAAATAAATAAATAAATAAATGAATGAAAAAAAAAAAAAAAAAAAAAAAAAAAAAAGAAAGAAAAGGCAGGCTGTTTCTCTCCTTCTTGCTTCAGCTTTCTAGACATGTTTTAAAAAGGGACATCCCTGCAAGGAGATGAAATTTCCAATCAAACCCCTGTGAGAGTTGATTCCAATTTTCCTCTTCCTAATTAGGCATCCTGCTTTTCCTTTGCTCACATAAAGGATATTTATGAATCAAGAGGTGATCAAGGGGGAAAGATGTGTCGATGTTGCATATTTTGGAATACTAATTTCTTTTCCGCTAAGTTCTGATTGATCTAGTGTTACTCACGCTTGGTCTGCGGGTAGGGAAGGATTTATAAAACTGTTCTGCTAAATTATTTAAATGAGAAGATGGCCTCTCTGATAAAACCCACACTCCACGGCAGTAATTTTTATGCGCGATTTTAAGGGCTCCAGTTTTATCCAGGAATTTCGTTTCAAGGGCCATGCACACCACTAGCGGGAAGAGGCTGCGCTCACCCCACCTTTCTTCAGGAATCCAAGAGTTCGCCATTCATTTAGCAAGCATTTATCGAGCACCTACTAAGTTATCAGACACTGGGTTAGTGGCTGGGGATTAAAACAGAAGATACAGGGGCCTCCCCGGTGGCGCAGCGGTCGAGTGCTGGGTTGCGAAGCTGCCCGCAGCCTCTGCAGCACCGGTTCGATCCCCGGCTGCTCCCGACCACCGGAGGAGGGTTCCCACATGGCGCGCAGACCTCTCCTGCCGCCCGCTGCTCCCCTCAGCAGTGTACTTCGGTCCTTCTGCCTGCTCTGCTCCCCGCTCTGGCTCTGGTGAATTCTCTCACCCTCCCGCGCTTCTGACTGTACCCAGTGCTTGTATAAATAAATAAATCTTAAAAAAAAAAACACAAAAAGCTGAAGATACAAAATCTTGACAAAAGTCAGTACTGAGGGTGAAGGAAATGTTTGGCGTTATGAAACGCGAAACCAGGGGTGCGTGGTTAAAAAGCAAAACAACAGAAAAACTGAGAGTGAGGACTGGGGGGGGCTGTGGAAAACAAACGAATCTCTTCCACCCCCCCGCCCCCCTTAAACTCCGGTAGCTGAGGCCGAGTTCATTCCCTTGCCTCAGTTTCCAGCAGCCAGTTTCTGGCCCGCTCGTGTGTAGCCCGACAGCGCATTCAACGTTCACAAGTTACTTCTAGAAGGCGAAGTCCAGCCTTTCCGACTCTGAAGTGCTTATCCCGACTGTCCCGCCAATGCTTGCCCGGGTAGCCCCGGGGAGTTTTCAAATTCACCCAGTCAGGCCACCTGAGCCATCCAACTTTTCCCTCAGAAAAATCACCCCGCTCAGGACGATCCCTCTCGGCACACGAGGCCCGCCTCCCCGCCACGCCGAGGGCCAAGTCCGCGTGGGAAATCACGTTGGCCACAGCGCGCGGCCAGGGGCGGTCACGAGGCGCGGCGAGCGCCCCAGGCTGCGGCCCCGCGGCGGCCAGGAAGGCCGCGCGCCAGCTCGGGTGCACACCCAGGGCGCCGGGCCCGCCTCCAGCTCCCGGGCAGCGAGAACCGCGAACCGCGCCGTGGACGGCCGAGGCGGCGGCGCTGCTCCCCCTGGCGGCGGGGCCCGTCCCTGCCCGCTCCCGGCCGGGGCCGCCAGCGCCGCGGGCCTTCCTCGCCCCATTTGCAGCCTCGGGAGGCAGCGTCCCCCGAGCGGAGGTGCCTCGGGCCTCCGGCGCCCCGGCGCTCGGCATCTCCCTCCAGTCCCCGCCCCCTGCCCCTGCCCCGACAGCCCCTTCCACTCGCCCCTCCGTCCCCCGCCGCAGCCCGGCCGAGCGCGAGCTGCGAGCTCCGAGCCCCCCGCGGGCTCCGCGGAGCCTTCCGGCGGCCCCGACCGCTCCATCGCGGCACCCGGCGGGGGTGCGGGGCCGGCGCGCCGCGCGAGTGGGGCGAGCGGAGGCGGCGGCGCGGACCGTTCCACTCCGCGTCCCCCCCGCCCCGCGCGGCGCGCGTGCTCCCCGGAACGCCATGGAGCCGCGGCGTTCCGAGCGGGCACAAAGGGGCGCGCGGCACAATGGGCGCGGCGAGCCCGTGGGCGCCGGGCGCCCGCTCCGGCGGCCCGGCCCTGCGCGGAGGTGGGCGCTCCTCCCGGCGGGTGCGCTCCAAGCAGCCCCCCTCCGCGTCCCCTCCCCTGCGCCCGCCCCCACCCCGGCATGGATGTTGCAGCCTCTCTCCCGTCCGTCTGTCTGCCCCGGAGCCGCCGGCGCCGCCGCCACCGCGCGGCCGGCTGGATCCGCCCCGCACTTACCTGGGACACGAGTTCTGTACTTTGCAGAGCGGGCCCGCGCCGAGTTTGGGCGCCACGTGGGGAGGGGGGGCGGCGCGGGGCCGGGGAGTGGGGGCCGCGCGCGGAGGGCCTGGCCGGGGCGGCCCGGGGAGTGGCTGGGGGCGGCGGGCGGGCGCCGTGTATTTTCCCCTCTCTTTGTGTGTGTCCGTGCGCTGCGCTCTCGCGTGACGTGACGGGACTCAGTGTGTCATTTCCGCACAAGGACACAAGAGCCCCCGCTGCAGTGGAACCACAACCCCTCCGCCCCCACCCCCGCCCGCCCCTCCCCCTCAGCGGGGCACACGCGGGACCGGCAGCGGCGCTCGGGCGTGAACGGCCGCGGCGGGGAGCTGGGGCGCGCGCTCCGGGGACCCGGGCGGCCCGGCGCGCTCCCCCGGCGCCGCGCCGCTCCACGTGGGCCCGCGCCGCTGGCCGGGCGGGGGCGGCGGCCGCGCACCCACGGCGCGCGGGGCAGCGCCGGCCCGCGGAGCCCCCCGGCCCCGGCGTGCGCTCCTCGAGCGAGGCGTTTCTCGGAAACGTGCTTTTGCAGGGCCGAGGAGTTGGACCTGAAAAGCCTCTTTTTCTACTTTTTTCTGCGAGGGACGGCGGCGCGCGGGCGTCTCCTCCCCCGGCGCCCGCATTTTGGCCGCGTCGGCCGTGACCCTGGCCACCCCCTCCCTGCCGCGGGCGGCCGCTCGGAGGCGAACTCGGTACAAAGACATGGGGGCGCGCGGGGCCGGGGTGGCCCCTCCGGCCCGGCCATGGAGCCGGGCGGGCCGCGGGAGAGCGACCCGGGCGCTGGGAAACGCTGGCGCTGGCCACTCCCCCGGCGGGGTGGCCGCCCTCTGTTGTGCGCCTGGGCTGAAATCTGCCTTCTACTTGCAACTCGAAGTTTGGAGGTTTGAGGCTGCAGAAGCTCGACATTCGGAAGCGCGCGCGCTCGCTGACCCACATGCCCGAGAGAAACCCACGGGATATTTGCGCGCAGCGCTTAAAATAGAGAAAACTCGAGTCACCAACTCAGTAAAGGTCGATTCCTTCTTCTAACTCGTCACTGTAGACTACAAGTTGATAAAATATGAAACCTGCCCCAGGGGTGTTTTTCTCAAGTCCCAGGGGCTTAAGGAGGTGGTGTGTGGGGGGTCAGGAGAGCCAACAGTTAAAACTCTCTTGCGTTTCAGGCAAATAATGGGAATGCAATCTTTTTAAAATTCTTTACTTTGCCGATCTTAAGAAAGTATAAAAAGAAAAATGCAAATGATCCCATCTGCTGCTCACAGCTGACTGGCTGCCAGGGCGGACCATGTGGCCCAGCCCCGCGCGGTCAGTGAATAGGTAGAATAGATTTTAAAAAGGAGGCATATGCTGGCTCCTCGCTGCCCAGGCGCTGGGAGGGTTTGAATTAACGTATAGTTTTAGATTGCCATAGCTTCCTACAAACTACTCCAATTCGGGATTTCAGCAGTTTTGCAGGGTCCTTCCCTTTTCGAGTGTAAAACCAAAAGGCACAGGGCTATCTAGGACCTTGGAAGCACTACTTGGAACGTTCTCGAACTGTATTTGGAAAGCTGATTTTAAGAAGTCAGTACTAATTGCTATGCAAAAATTGCCAGCCTCCGGGAGAATCCAGCCTCGCATCCAGGAGGGGGGGGGGGTTGTGCTTTAATAAAAGAATCCATACGTGCTCAGTGTCATTCAAAACAGGATGATGAAAAGAATGGCTGCCGAGATAGCAGCCCTTCAAATTCAAAAGACTTGAGTCACTCTATCTACATTTAAAATAGGGCGGAGGGAGGAAAGGAGGAGGATCGCTTGGGGGGAAAATGGTTAATTTATACATTCCCAGGAGACAGAATGGAGGCTTTTCGATTTCTGCCGGGAACTTGACTTTTACTCTTGCACATTAAATAACACGTAAGATACTGTACATCACTTGCCTTAGTTAACAGATACAGCAAGTTTTAGCCTTCAATTTAATGTGACAGTTATAATTAGAATTTTAAAAGTATAAATTGTGTTTCATTCGCTCAGTTTTCTAGGATTTCCCAGTAGAAAAGTTAGGAAGAGTTGAGAGCAGTTCAACTCACTTTGCATTTTAAAAGCACTTTGCTGAAGTGATTTAAAAATGTAAAATGACCTTGTTAAATTTTTACAAAGAGGACTGGTTGAAATGTTTATTGTAAAGGGATATATCTTTAGTCCAAGGCTCACTGTAACAATTCGAGTATTTAAGAAGAAATGAAATGAAACAATAGAAATTAACATGTCTATTTTCATGTTTAAAAACCAAACATTTTGTCAAATATAATAATAAATGGCACCTGAGGCAAGCAGCATGCTTAACTGACAAAGCTGATTTTCAAAACATTTCTCTTAGGAAATTACAAACTGACCTTGTGTATGATTGTCAATTATGTGTCTTAACTTGCACAATGGGATCTACAGAAAAAAAGTAAGCCATTCCAAATAAGTTATTATCTGATATAAATGGAAGCCATTGTTATCTATGAAAGGAAACTCCCTGTATTCAAGTGATTTTGTACCTTTAAATGAGTTTCTTGTATTTTTTAATGAGGAAGGGGAAGATGAAAAATGCATTGGGGATAGTTGTATTTTAGTTGTATTTTGGAGTCTTTTAAAAAAAATAGTTCTGAAGGTGTTTTGGATAAAAATAATGCTTTATGAGAAAATATGAATAAACAGATGGAGAGAAGAACAAGTTAGGAGAAACACAATTCCTGCCCAATACAGCTGTAAGTCAGTAGGAGTCACTGTTCATGGTTCATAAGGATGTATACAAAGACCTGAATAAAATAACAACATATGTTTTAGAGGTCTATTTGATTGGAAATCGCTTAATTTGAAGTACGTTTTTCAATATTTCAAATTAGAGCTGCTGCAACTGATCTAGACTCATTTTCGAATCTACCAGAGTAAAAAGCAGAGCAGGGATGGGATATTAGCTAGTTGGCCAGAAAAAGGACTCACATGAAACACTAACTGTAAATACTCAAATGGAAAATTGCACTACATTTAATAGAATAAGGTATACAGCACATATATAGTGGATACACACAATGTCTATGTATATAACTAAGGGTGGCAGGCAGACAGATATTAGGTTTCAGATGTTTTTTAATTGTTAAATTAAAAAAAGGTTTTTAAAGGTTTTTATCGTGGCTAAAATATATCTATAGTTGCCAAGACAATATTTAGTAGGACTTTTTTTTCAGTAGTTAAATCTTAAAACAACACAACAGATTTCACTGTTACTTGTGAGACATTTCCACTTTACTTCTTGCCTGCTGGATATATAATTTTGCCAAGACTTCAACTTCAAACAGAAGTAGCTGGCAGATCCAGATTCTGTGAATACTCATAACAGAAAAAGGGGAAAGAGAGGGGAGCAGATATTGACTTTATTAAATAGAACCCACAGAGAGACACACCTTGCTAAAGAAATTGTAAAACTGACTTTTGTTTGGGGAAACTGGGATCTCACGCTTTAGTTTAACCCCTTGTGTGTTGGGTGGTAGGAGGGGCTGGGTACCAACTTTTAGAATCAGGAATAGGAAAATGACACACCATGACCCAATGTGAAAAAAAAAGTTTGGAAAAGCTGTAGAGCATGTGTGTTGGGCAGTTTTTCTTATGTGTAGAACTGTTTAATAATTTATAGCAGCTTGAGATTTTAAGCACCCAACACAGTCATTAGGATCTGATTTTAGCTGAGTATCTGGCTTGCACAACAGGATTCTGCAAAGAAAAAAAAAATATTAGGGCGAGTGAAATTGCTGCCTCCCACTCAGTTTCAAACCCTTGAGAAAACAAATGCCAATCTGAACTGCAGCTCATTCTTGAGCCCCGAGTGCTGGCTGGAGGCATTGCAGCCACTAGCGTCCCCACACCCAGAGGGGCGCCCAAGGGCCTGTAATCAGGAGTCCCCACACTGATCACATAGCTGCAGTGACAGGCAGGAAATAAGCAGCAAGCGCAGTCCCATCACTTTTGAAAAAGAAAAGGAAGACATATACTGCTCTGGTAATTGACAGGATTTTAAGAAATTATTTTAAATTGTGGATCAGAAGACTTGAAATGATAGTATAAATAACTATTTTAGTATATACTGTTATATTAGTGTATATTATATATTAGCATATATGGTATATATTAGTCTTATATTAACTAATTATATATAATTAATTATTATATATTATACACATAATATGTATAGTCCTGTTTGACTTGCCTAAAATGTTTTCTGTTAAATGAAACATTTCATAGAAATGAACTTGAGATACAGTGATTTCACATCTAGGATTCCATTCTGGAGAAATACTCAACCAGACTACATCAATAAGTATGTTCACTGTAGGATTGTTCATGACAGTAAAAAAGTTGGAGAGAACTTGGAAAGCGTTAAGAAATACTATGTAGGCTTTAGAAAGAGAGAAGATACACTTTTTATGAATACAAAGGTGTTAGGTAGTTAGATAATTGAGAGGAGAAAACGGGGAATGATTTTTAAAATCATCGTGGGGCCTCTCCAGTGGCACAGCAGGTTGAGCGCAGCTCTGTGAAGCTGTCCTCAGCCTCTGCAATGCTGGTTCCACTCCCGCCGACCAGGAAGTTACCCACATGGTGCGGCAGTCCTCTCCTGTCTCGCCAGCTGTTCCCCTCAGCAGTGTTTTTGGTCATTTGGCTCCCAGCTCTGTCTCTGGTGAATTCCCTCGCCCTCTGGCGCCTCTGGGCTGTACCCCAGCTATTGTATAAATAAATAAATCTTAACAACAACAACAACAACAACAAAAAAAAAAAAACGGTTTAAAATCATCCTGGCAGATAGCTGCCCCTAATTAGCATTGTGGCTTTGGGGGGCGGGGAGGGAGATCGTGCAAGGGGATTACAGCCATGACAGTTCTGACTCCTGCCAAAGGACTAAAACACCCCTCTTTGACCAAAGGGCAGGGTGGACCATGGACCTGAATTGGAAGTATAAGCTTTTTGAAAAATAACATTTGCCACTCTAAAATGTCTTTTTAGCATAAGGATCATTTAATA